TCCTTCTGACAGCTCTTTTTTCCCTTTATCAAAATGAAGCATACAATGAATGGGAAAAAGATGAGACACAGACTTTAAAAATCAATATCCTTATAACCATTCTTCAAATATAATCACTAATTATATTAATTATATTAATACTTATACAGAAGTGTAAGTCTGGTCTATCTTATTAGATAGAATTCCAATGTGAATCCACCTTCAACCCTTTGAACAGCACTTCTGGTGAGGGAGGGTGGAAATTCACACAGGGGACCCTCCCTGCATTTCCACCCTGGCTCCCAGAAGCTGCACTTTTCAGAGAAGTTTGCCTTGAACTTCTATGCACCTCCTCCCACCCCCTGCGAATTTACACACAGAGCACCTTTGTGAGCCGTGAGCGGGAGACTGGGCACAGGCAGAGCACAGAGAGGGCTTGTCAAAGTAAACGAGTTGATTCATGTGCAAAAATCCCCCGACTGCGTTTACAGATTAAATTGGAAAAACTTTCAGCTGCTTTTGGTTGAAAATTCCACTCAAGTATTTCACTTGATGCCCGTGCCTTCGGCACATGGCGTTCCAGTGCTTGAACAATAGTCTGCACGTGCAAACACAAAGCTCAGCGGTCTGTGAGTGGCATGTGGCTTCAAAAGGTCTGTGTCATCTGATGGCCAATAGTTTCCTGCATATTTGCTGTATAAACCCATCCTTGTCCACGGATGTACTGAATTAGTGATAAGCCCACAAAGCTTAACAAGGTTCAAGTGGAGGGCTCTTGAATTTTCAACTTCACAGCACTAGATGCTTGAATGAATCTAGCAACAGTGAATTCATTACTTTGTTGGCAGCTTGTGCCTTTTAATAAAGAGGTCCACTGATTAGGAAGAGACAGCTGTAGATCTCACTGTTCCATATAACAGCCACCAACCACTGTGGCCTTTGAACATTTAAAATGTGGCTAATTCCAACCAAGATGTGCTGTATAGGACCTGAACTCAGCTCTGGGTCAAGCAGACCTGACAGATATGTACAGAATTCTCCACCCAAAACAACAGAATATACATTCTTCTCATTGCCACATGGCACTTACTCTAAAATTAATCACATAATCAGAAGTAAAACACTCTTCAGCAAATGCAAAAAGAACTAAAATCATAATAGTCTCTCAGACCACAGTCCAATCAAATTAGAACTCAAGATTAAGAAATTCACTCAAAACCACACAACTACATGGAAATTGAACAACCTGCTCCTGAATGACTCCGCGTAAATAATCAAAGTAAGTCAGAAATCAAGAAGTTCTTTGAAACTAATGAGAATGAACAGAGACCGTACTAGAGTCTCTGGAACACAGCTAAGGCAGTGTTAAGAGGGAAATTTATAGCACTAAATGCCCACATCAAAAAGCTAGAAAGATCTCAAATTAACAACCTAACAACACAACTAAAAGAACTAGAGAACCAAAAGCAAACAAACCCCAAAGCCAGCAGAAGACAAGAAACAACCAAGATCAGAGTGGAACTGAAGGAGCTAGAGACACAAAAACCCTTCAAAAAATCAATGAATCCAGAAGCTGTTTTTTTGAAAAAATTAATCAAATAGACTGCTATCTAGACAACGAAGAAGAGAGAGAAGAATAAAATCGACACAATCAGAAATGATAAGGGGGATATCACCACTGACCCCACAGAAATACAAACAACCATCAGAGAATACTATAAACACCTCTATCCACATAAACAAGAAAATCTACAATAAATGGATAAGTTCCTGGACACATACACCCTCCCAAAACTGAACCAGGAAGAAATTAAATCCCTGAATAGACCAATAACAAGTTCTGAAACTGAGGCAGTAATAAATAGCATCCAATAAAAGCTCAGGATCAGACGGATTTACAGCTGAATTTTACCAGAGGTACAAGGAAGAGCTTGTACCATTACTACTGAAACTATCCCAAAAAATTGAAAAAGTGAGACTCCTCCCTAACTCATGTTATGAGACCAGTAACACTGTGATACCAAAATCTTGCAGAGATACAACAAAAAAGAAAACTTCAGGTCAATATCCCTGATGAACACTGATGCAAAAATCCTCAACACAATACTGGCAAACCAAATCCAGCAGCACATCAAAAATCTTATCCACCACAATTAAGTCAGCTTCATCCCTGGGTTGCAAGGTTGGTTCAACATATGCAAATCGATAAATATGAATCATCACATAAACAGAACTAAGGACAAAAACCACACAATTATCTCAATAGATGTAGAAAAGGTCTTTGATAAAATTCAACATCCCTTCATGTTAAAAATATTCAATAAACTAGGTATTGAAGGAACATACCTCAAAATAATAAGAGCCATATATGACAAACCCACAGTCAATATCATACTGAATGGGCAATAGCTAGAAGCATTTCCCATGAAAACCAGCCAAAGACAAGGATACCCTCTCACCTCTCCTATTCAACATAGTATTGGAAGTTCTGGCCAGGGCAATCAGGCAACAGAAAGAAATAGAGTATTAAAACAAAAAAAGAAGAAGTCAAATTATCTTTGTTTGCAGATGACATGATCCTATATCTAGAAAATCCCATTACCTCAGCCCAAAAGTTTCTTAAGCTGATAAGCAACCTCAACAAAGTTTCAGGATACAAAATCAATATGCAAAAATCACTAGCATTCTTATACATCAACAACAGACAAGCAGACAGCCAAGTCAGGAATGAACTCCTATTCACAACGGCTACAAACAGAATTTTAAAAACCTAAGAACAGCTAACAAGGGAAGTGAAGCACCTCTTCAAAGAGAACTACAAACCACTGCTCAAGGAAACCAGAGAGGACACAAACAAATGGAAAAACATTCCATGCTCGTGGATAGGAAGAATCAAGATTGTGAAAATGGCCATACTGTCCAAAGTAGTTTATAGATTCAATACTAGTCCCATTAAACTACCATTGACATTCTCTGCAGAATTAGAAGAAATTATTTTAAAATTCAGATGGAACCAAAAAAGAGCCTAAATAGCCAAGACAATTCTAAGCAAAAACAACAAAGCTGAAGGCATCAGGCTACCCAACTTCAAATTATACTACAGTAACCAAAACAGTATAGTACCGGTACAAACACAGACACATAGACCAATGGAACAGAATAGAGAACTCAGAAATAAGACTGCACACCTCCAACCATCTGACCTTCAACAAACCTGACAGAAACAAGGAATGGGGAAAGGATTCCCTGTTTAATAAATGGTGCTGGAAGAACTGGCTAGCCATACGCAGAAAGTTGAAACTGGACTCCTTTTTTACACCATATACAAAAATTAACTCAAGATAGATTAAAGACTTCAATAAAAACCCCAAACTATAAAAACCCTAGAAGAAAATCTAGGCAACACCATTCAGGACATAGGCATGGGCAAAAATTTCATGATGAAAATGCCAAAAACAATGGCAACAAAAGCAAAATTGACAAATGGGATCTAATTAAACTAAAGACCTTCTACACAGCAAAACAAACTGTCATCAGAGTGAACAGAAAACCTACAGAATGGAAGAAACATTTTGCAATGTATCCACCTGACAAAGGTCCAATATCCACAGTCTACAAGGAACTTAAACAAACTTACAAGAAAAAAAAAAAAAAAAACATTAAAAAGTGGGCAAAGGACATGAACAGACACTTCTCCAAAGAAGACATACATGTGGCCAAAAAGTGTATGAAAAAAGGCTCAACATCACTGATTATTAGAGAAATGCAAATCAAAACCACAATGAGATACCATCTCACACCAGTCAAAATGGCGATTATTAAAAAGTCTAAAAACAACATATGCTGGTGAGGTTGTGGAGAAATAGGAATGCTTTTACACTATTGGTGCGAGTGCAAATTAGTTCAACCATTGTGGAAGACAGTGTGGCGATTCCTCAAAGATCTAGAGGCAGAAATACCACTGGACCCAGCAATCTCATTACTGAGTATATATCCAAAGGAATACAAATCATTCTACTATAAAGATACATGCACATGTATGTTCACTGCGGCACTATTCACAATAGCAAAGACATGGAACCAACCCAAATGTCCATCAATGATAAACTGGATAAAGAAAATGTGGTACATATACACCATGGAATACTATGCAGCCATAAAAAGGAGCATGCCCTTTGCAGGGATATGGATGGAGCTGGAAGCCATAATTCCAAGTGAAGTAACGCAGGAACAGAAAACAAAACACTGCATTTTCTCACTTACTATTGTGAGCTGGATGATGAGAACACATAAACACATATGGTGGGGGACGACACATACTGGGACCTGCTGGGGGTGGGGGGAGGGAGAACATCAGGAAGAATGGCTCAAAATAAACAAATAAATAAATTAGATGTGCTGTAAAATACACACCAAATTTCAAAGAGTTAGTACCCAAAAAAAGTCAAATAACTCATTAATAACTTTTTATAGTGATTATACGTTAAAATTTGGTTACATTGGATTAAAATATATTACTAAACTTTTACTTGTTTTCTTTTACCTTTGTCAGAGGGCTACTAGAAAATTTTAAATTACCCATATAGCTCACATTATATTTTAATTAGATAATCTTAACCCAGAGTATTTATGAAAACGAGAATCTCAAAGGCAGCCCAGGAATCTGCACGGTTAACAAGCATCCAAGTGACTAAGATCACGGCTATTTGAAAACCCCTGACACAGCAGTGACTTGAAGCATGAGTCAGGACACTTGGATTCTAAACATCATTCAGTTCTTCTTACCTGGGCCTTAGTCTCCTCATCAATAAAATGAAGGGCTTGGATTAGACCTGGAAAGTTGTCTGATTTAAGGCTTCCGATCCCATTACCCACTGATTATTTGTCCATAAACCTAGGCCAGCAAAGATCCCCAGAGACTGAATGGACCCAGATGGGTACCAGATTCAGGCAAGTGTGACTTTAGGGAGGCTTTCCTGGTTTTCACATCCTCCGGAGGACTCTGAAAGAATGTTCACCCGGGGGCTTCCCAGAGGAGTACAGCTAACTCCAGGGGAACCACATAGAACCTTGTCTGCATCAACATCCTTATCACCACCAACTGCCCAAGGACTGCTATGTACAGCAGAGCCCCCCGATATGTCCTAGAGCCGACTCATACCCTTAGGCTGCCCTAAAAATGGCCAAGAGTCCATGGATCAAACAGAAGAACCCAGCCCATCCCAAGAAAGGTGACTCGACTCAACCTACCAACCTATTCAGCCAGAAGAATTCCTTTTCAGAAGCAGATTGGGAAACCAATGTTTTCCCGCTGTGGAACTATCACTTTCACCTTTCCAAGAGGACTCTGACAAAAGTTGCTAACCCACTCTTCAGAACCTTTGAAATTCATCTTCCTAACTGAAGGGAGGTTTTCCATTGGGAAAAAAATGGTTCATTCAAAATAAGAATAAATGGGTTCGGCGTCGGCGTCGCTCCGCGCGGCGGGGCTCTAGGCCGAGGTCTCACCGCGAGCTGCGGGTGAAGCGCTGGCAGCTAAGAGCACGCGAGGAGGCGCCACCCGTTTGGCGTTGGTTTTGGCTCCGGCGTCGTTGTGTCCTGACAACCGCTCCGGTAACCGGTTCCGAGACAGTGGGTGCGGCCGCTTTAGCCCTGAGCGGGCTCCACAGCTGCCTGCGGGTCTCTGCTAGTGCCGGACCCTTTCGTAGCAGACCCTAGGCCGAGCTGCGACCCTGAGCCAAGAGAGGGAGCCCCGGCAATGGCGGCCTGGACAACCTCGCACCGGTCAATCAAGGGGATCCTGAAGAACAACTTCCTCTATGGTGGCGTCTGCCGAACAGCCCCACGGGAGTGTGGACTAGGAGCTGAACAAAAAATCCCGGAAGTGGGATGAAATGAACATCCTGGCAACATATCATCCAGCAGACAAAGATTACGGTTTAATGAAAACAGATGAACCAAGCACTTCTTCCCATCGTATTATGGGTGATGATGAAGATGCATGTAGTGATACAGACACCACTGAAAACATGGCACCAGATATCTTAGCTAAGAAATTAGCTGCTGCTGAAGGCGTGGAACCAAAGTATCGGGTTCAGGAACAAGACAACAGTGGAAAGGAGGATAGTAACCTCTCACCTGAAGAACAAGAAACAAAAGTGACAATTTGAAATGAAAAGGAAGCTTCATTACAATGAAAGACTCAATATCAAACTAGCTAGACAGTTTCAAAAAACCTACGTGATGATGACGAAGATGAAAAAATGTTAGAGACTGCAGATGGAGAAAGCATGAACACGGAGGAATCAAATCAAGGATCTACTGCAAGTGACCAAGATTGGTTCAACGCTGTAATTGTTTGTTAGATATAAACCCTGTTACTATAATTGCTTCTTGTTCTCCACAATTCATGACTTAAGTACCAAAATGCATACCAGTTATTATATACTGCCAAAAATTAAATGATAAACTTAGAGACTGATTAGACTGAAAATGCCTAATAGATGTATATATTCTTGTGCCTAGTACTTTACCACCAATACAGTGTAATATCATCGGTCCAAAATTGCATTAATTTTGTAAATACACTGGTTAATTTGTATTAGATATTATATAGCTTTTATGCTTTAGAGGTTAAACAATATATTTGGGGGAAACTATTTTCATCACTCTAAATGTGGTGGTAGCTCTTATAAAGTTTGTCGGCTTTTTTTTTTTTAATCAAAAGCCAACTGAACAACAGGACATATAGACTGATAAATATTCAGGCTGAATAGTATTTTAACACTTGTCTTCAACTTCATTTGTCTGTTTAATTGAAAAGGATTATAAGAGTTACCGTTGCATTTTCTGGCCTACTACCTTTAAAACTCCTGTTGTGTTTCTTTGTATTTACAAGGAAAGGACTGAACTTTTTCTCATCAAAACTGGCTTTTTTCCCACAAATAAATTATCAGGTTAAACTTGCACTAATGTCTGCTCTGTTTTTTGTTTTGGTTTTTTCTGTTTTATGTTTTTGGTACACTGGGCAGACTTCAGAGCAACTTTTTTTCAATAAATATTCTAAAGTAGCTATCTCGGCATTCCCTTTAAATACCTGTCTTAACCTCCTGCTTTTATTTCTTACTCCTTTCCACACATACGCACACAATCCTTTACCTTTTAAAGGATCATTAAGATTACATTAGGAACTCTTTCTGTCACTCTTCTGTGATTTGCTGCAATATTGAAATTCTTATTTTGACCATCACTGCCTATTCATTCTTCTAATACATGAAGAAAATAGATTAAGTAGCAGCAGTACTATAGGCAGGAAATACAGTTTAACTGCTAAATTTCTATACCTCTCTGATTTACAGCTTGCTAATTAAATTGCTATTATTAGTTTGTTTGGCTTAGACTTAAGAAAACAACTAACTGAGGGTTTTTTTGTTTTCTGGGTTTTTTGTGGTTTTTTTTTTGGCATGAGGAGAGAATTGTGGGTAACCAGTGATATGATTATTACTGAATGTACAGACAGAAGTAAGCCTGGACATTGTTTAATTTAAAAACTTTAAACAGTCACTGCCTTAAGGGAATATTATAATATATACTATGACAAATGTACATTATTCTTCTACACAGTAAGAATTACTTGGAATATTTTCCTGAAATGAAGTGCAGGAAAGCCCTGTGTGTCTTGGTTTAGTGATGGTTTCATTTCTAGCCAATTATTTGTATCTTAATTTTTTGTTAGTACCAAAATAATCTGTTATATGAACAGACTTTTAAAATAATTTCTGTATACTATATATATAAGAAAGCTTTTATTAAACAGCTTATCTTCCACTTGCAAGTTTATGGAAATATCAGTATGTCAAAATAAATAAAAAGTGAGAGAATTCTCTGGTATTAGAAGAATGTGCTTATTATTTTGATTTTTTAAATGGGATATAATCAAAGTACTGCTGAACTATAGGTGCAGTATTCTACTAAACATTTCAGCTAGTAATACCACTGATTTAGCAACAAAACTGTTTATGTCTGCTTTCTGAATTTAGAATGTTGAGATTACTTGTTTAAATCTGTTTTGGGGGATGTAGAGATTAAGTCTGTACATACACGTGTACATATATTCACGCACCTTCTGATTTTGGTTTTCTCGTTTTTGAGTTCTTAGAAAGTATTCACATACTCTTTTTTTGTAGAAGTAGCTGTTGTACAGTGAAGAAAAGGATAAGCCTTTAAACAGTTGATTCTGTTTGTGTTTTCTACAAATTATTTTTTGAAATTTAAATTACAAGCAAACTCGTTTCCTGGTTTTCAGAAATAGATGATTATTTCAGAGCAGTAAGACATGACAAACAGCATGCTCAGGAGGATTTTAGGTAGTCAAATGCAGCTGAGAAAAGGTATTTTCAAGTCCTAAGTTGCTCATTGATATGGTATGAACTAGTCAAAACATGAACCATTATGATTCAAGTTAGATTTTCTTCTGGAGAGACAGATCTGAATGTTCATTTCTAGCCAAAGTAGATTTTACTTTCAACTTTTTAATCAATATCACTTTCTGTGCTTAACTCCTTGGTGTTGCCTTGTCTGTTTTCATTCATCTAAAATTCTGCAGGGATGACTAAAATTTGACATAATGGTATAAATGGATTCTTAAGAATAACTTTAAGTTGAAGATTAAAGCAAGATGCAATTTTCCCCATGACTTTCATTTTGTTTACATTTTTCCCTTTAAGTTAGTATACACTAGACATACATAAAATACAATAATATAACAAAACATAAATGTTCTTATTTTATAGAAGAATAAAATGTCTGATATTGGGATATGACTGGTGGTATTATATTAATAATTATTGTAATAAAATTAGTAACTTCTAAAATTGATGAAATACCTGCTAAGCATAATGAGAAAATTGTAAGAGGCCCCTGCGTGTGCTACATTTCCAACTAAAGATGCTTACCCAGTCCCAGCTCCAGCTTCTACTAGTAAAGGGGCAAGCAGAAGTAAAAACGATGGTGAAAAAAGTCAGAAGCTTATATTGTTTATTCTGGAGAATGCTGTATCTGGGCTCAGTCATTTAGGGAGCTATTCAGTTACCAAGTCCTCTTATTTTGATAGGCATATCTATTAAAAAGATTATTACAAATGCATGGGCAGTTATAATGACATAAATTTGATCATCGCCTAATAGGGCTCCTGGTTGACCCAGTTTGGCTCATATTAAGAGATTTATGTCAGTTCCTACTATTCTGGTTCAAGCACCAAATACTGTAATGTACCAATATCTTTGTGTTTGTTGAAAATAATCAACGATTAATCAATATAGGTAGAAGAGTGAAATGCCTGAGAAAGCCTTCATCCGTAAATCTAAAGACAGAGGTTGAACCCTCTTTTTACTGAGCCTCAAGGTGAATAGTCACATCAAATTGCAAACTCAAAGATGCAGCTTCAATTCTGCCAGGGCTTCCCCTGCCCTTTTCTCTCAACAGCAGAAGTAGACTGAAGACAGGTGATTAGAGTATTTCACTGTTAATCAAATTTTCTTGAGGTTGGATACTACCAATCTAATGAGAATTTAGTTTAATTAAAATGTTTGATTTGCATTCAATTGATGTAAGATAGAGTTGCAGTCCTTAATTTTTCAGGAACAAAATATAAAATATTGCTTAGGGTTTTGAAGGCTCTTGGTCTGCCTAACCTAAATTCCTAATCCAATGTTGAGAATACTGGTTTAAGTGGGAAGAAAAAGGCTGATAACAAAATAAACAAGGGAAGGAAGAATGTTTGTTTTATATTTTCAAATTGTCATTTTGTTTTTATGTTATTGGTTTTGGGGAATGTCATTAATGATGTAGAATAGATTAATCCCATATAAAAATATAAGTTGAGTAGTGCTATGATGGTGATAAATGTTAGTATAATAATGCTGTTATTTTTTGTTAATTCTTGGCTACTAAGTCATTTGGTAAAAATCGTGTAAGTGGAGGTAGGTCTTTTGGAGATAACAGAAATACAAAGATATGGAAGTTACTAGTGATAATTTACCCCATGTATGTAATAATGATAATGTGTGGAAGTTATATTTAAATTAAATAAATATGAATACAGTGATTATTAATATTTTGTAATTTATAGATGTAACATTATTGTAGAAAGGTTGTAGGTTAGAATGGACATTTAGTCTATATGTGTAATTGATAAATAGGCTAGAATTTTGTGTAGTTATGCCCGATTTGGTCTTCCTCATTCTCCTACCAGAATTGATAATATAGCAATAATTAATATTACATTTGGGTTAATAGATGATACTTGGAATTGAGATCAGTGCCAGTTTTTGTCATGTTAATAAGATTATGCCTGATGTTATTGGAATTCCTTGTCTTACTTCTGGGACTCAGAAATGAAATGGAGAAAGCCCACTTTTTATAATTAGTGTTATAGTGATTATTACAGATGCTATTGGGCTGGGAATTTTTATGACTGTTCACTACCCAGAATATGATATATAAAGACATCTATGATTAGGAATATAGATATAGTTGTGTTAAGAAATATTTAGTAGTTGCTTCTTTGGATCATGAATTTAATTTTTTATTAAAATGAGAATAATGGCTAGTACATTTATTTCTAGTCCTATTCAGATTATTAATCTGTGCAAGCTAAATATTGTAACTATAGTTCCTGTAAAGTTCCAACTCATGGTTCACATCACTCTCTGTTATATAGTATACAGAGACATACATATTATATATATATATGATATCTTTCTAAAAATAAAAAAATGAAATTGCTTTAGTAAGCATTGCCATGTGATTTTTGGAGGGAGGAAGATTGGGAGCAAAGAAGGAAATGGGTAAGATCGGCCCCAATCTAAATCTCAGGTGTGCTTCCCACAAAGGGCTCCAGAGAGTCTCTGGATACCCCACGACCAGACAGCCACAGCAGGTGGGGTTAGATTGGAGATGAAAGCATTTCAGATACATGTTTGTTGACTCACATGTAAGGATAAAATTTACCAGACTGCCTAAGAGGAAAAGATCCTGGCCCAAACCTTTTCCTTAATCAATGGAAGAATCCTTACTTTCCCCCACTACAAAAAAAGGAGCAAAGAGCCAGCCACGAGGTAGTCAATCTGCACCCGTTCAGACCTGAGTGCAAGGACCTTCTATGGCCTGGAATCTTCAACGCACATGAAAAGGGCTTTTTCTATCCTTAAACGGTAATGACCTATTGCAATACGGCTGTGACACTGGAAGATACCAACTCCTATATCTTGCTTTGCTGAGGACACTCACAGTTTTAGCCTCAGACCTTCCTAGATTACAGTTTAGCTTTAGCTCATATTCTCATGTGTGTCTTAAATGTCAGCTTCTGATCAAGCTCATTAAATAGGGGCTGGCCCTTCCCACAGGGGGCTTACTATCTCAGCCAGACAATTCTTGCCATTAGGCAAGAGGAAGAAGACAAGCAAACTTGTAAGAGGTGTAAAGAATGGAACTGGGACCCAAATTATGAGCTAAAGCCTTGAGTAAACATATACAGAGGTTCCAGGTAAATGGTGATTCTGTTTACAGTGGAACAGGGCCTTCTTTCCCAGGACTTCTCCTCCTAGCTGATCTGATTAGCAGCTCCTTAGACATATCTCCTGCTCCAAAGTTTCCACTGCCACATATACAGGTAATGGTATTTTGCACAAGAAGATAAGCACGGTTCAATAATGGCAGGAGGGTCTGCTAATCAGCTACATCAATTGCCATATATGATCACTAGTCACATTCCCAACTGGTATGGCCCCACCTCTTCCTCTGCATGGAAAACAATTAATGGTATCGTTTTTGCTATCCTTGGATTGTGACTAAAGTATGAGGTGCTTTCGTCATAATTAGAGGTGCTGCATCACCAGGAATCTATGTTAATGAGCAACCAGAACTTCCTGGAAGACAATAGCCCAAGAAGCACCCCACTGTCACCAATGAAGAAGTGACTCTGGGAAGACCTTGGTGCTTGGTCAGTCTCCTGAGCCCCGCCCAGCCCAATCTGCAACGTGTAGAGACTGTAACTGAAAACGGAGGTTGTTTTCACTAATGATATCCAAGGCATTGAGGAAGGGGCAGCTCTGCTTCAGTGACCTTTCATGAAGTACACACCAGGTGAAAAAGGGAATTTGCACCACAAAAAACTACACAGCTGTGGCTCCTAAGGGCTCCAAGCATCATCAGCACAGGCAGAGGAGATGGCATCCCAGGGCAGCAGCAGAGAGGCCTGGAGGGCAGGTGTCACTCACCCCAGGGGTGGCAGATGGTCTCATGTAGACCTGGATGACAATGGAGAAGTCTCTACTGGCACCTTCCCCAGCATCAAGGAAATAAAATGGCAGCTGCCACATAGTAACTAAGCCCTTGAACCAAAGGTTTCTGAGGGCCAAGGTCCCAAAGCAGCTAGAAAAATAGGGTCATCAATACTAGTGGGAACGTCTTTTAATCCCCATGAGTTGTAAGATCTTAACCACAGTCTACAACTTCAAACATTTTCTAGGATGTAAAACTCGCGTGGCTCACGCCTGTAATCCCAACACTTTGGGAGGCCAAGGTGGGCAGATCACAAGGTCAGGAGATCAAAACCATCCTGGCCAAAACGGTGAAACCTCGTCTCTACTAAAATACAAAAACAAATAGTCGAGTGTGGTGGCACGTGCCTGTAGTCCCAGCTACTGGGGAGGCTGAGGCAGGTGAATCACTTGAACCCGGGAGGTGGAGATTGCAGTGAGCCAGGATCATGCCACTGCACTCCAGCCTGGCAACAGAATAAGACTCCAAAAAAAAAAAAAAAAAATGCAGACACACAGAAAGCTTGTGGGTTCCTCCAAAGGGCAGCTCAGAGATTCCT